TTTATAAGGAAATAATGGATGCACAACATTTTCCATTTTATATTATTTTATCGAATTACGTATCATCCATTTTGTTCTATCAAGATAAAGATTACAACGTTCGACAAATTAGGTTTCATGTTTGTATAAAGATGCATTGTTGTAAAAGACGCGCCTGTAAAAGAAAGAAACTTTTCGGATCTCCTAATATAAAGATTTAAATACGTTTGCATAGCCACTGTATATAAATATTAGCAGCGAGCGTTTTAAAGAGCAGTTAACTTGGACGAGAATTTACAAGTTTGAAAATCGTGATTAGTGGACAATATTCTGCGTCTGATGGTCGGTTATTATTCGGTGAGATCAAGCAGGTCGCGACAGTAAAAATTTCCAATTTAAATTCACGCCGACGCGTTTAAAAATTATTAAGACAGCGAGGATGTCTGCGCCGACAGGTAGTTTGCATTCGTGGCCGACTATAAAGATTTCACGTAGCTTCAACGAGTCGGTAATAGAGTCCGTAAGCAAGTCTCGCCAGGTACTTGAAAGTTTTTCCTTCTCCTCTCAAAGGTGGAGGTGAAAGTTCCTCAAATCCAGAGCATCCTCAAGTCTCAGGAGTACAGCCGTAACATGTTGCAGACGCATCAACCAAAAAGTGAAAAGAAAGAAACTATGAATACCTTCGGACGAGTAAAACGGTGTATGATTGAGGGACAACCACGTAACTTGAAAATATTCCCTTATGTATTAACATAAACATCTCAATGGCATAAACATTAATAATACGAGGCTTTTAATTGTAAATACAAAATGTTTAAATTTCTAATTGAATACATGTATCTTTACATAGACTGTCTGAATGAAATTTAATGAAATGGCTTTTGAAATTTAGTATGAATATTCGATTATTAATATATTATTCATCATTCGCAAGTTTTTTATTACTCCTATACTATAATATATTCTATATGATACAGTTAAGTACCTGAACCTTTCTTGAATAAAGTTGACTTCAATAAAAGAAGAATCATATAGGTGTCGCACAATATACTAATTTGAAAAAGAAGAAAACAGAAATTGGCTAAGCGCTGAAACGTACTGTACGTTGAACGCTATGTTCTTAAAGAAACCGTAGAAAGGATTTCAACTGGGTGAAACTCGCGCGATCAAGCAATATTATCGTTGCTTAAATATAGTGAATCGTTTAACGAGTTCTCTTGCTCCAGGAATCTTTTCCTGGGTTTCGCGAGAACTTCGTTTAAACTCCTTCAATTATCTCAGAGTTGTTTACATTTCGCTAAACATTATCCAGGTCAGAGGCTCCTCGGAATAACGCTATAATAACGCGGTCCAAGAAGCTCATTTTTCACAATCCGACGGACTGGGTTAGCTCGGTCACGTTGGTTCGCACCAACGTGTTTGTAAAACTAATTGAAAAATTCCTTTGCACCCTGTCAGGAACGAAAATAAAAGCTCTGGCCGTGATAAACGAGAAAGAAGGAACCCGTGGACGACCGGCCAGGGAAAAAAATGTTCATCGGGCTTAAACCGACTTCGGTTCCCAACCAGGAATTAGTCAACGTTTTTCAAGTTTTGATGGACAACGACGATGGAATGCGCGAGGGTTTTCCTGTGTTTCAAATTTCCAACCTCCTCGAGGACCCTCTTCGCGTCGAATGGGAGCACGAGTTCGAATCTGTCAAAGAGAAGAGCATTAATGTTTCGTCCCTTCAACGCTTAATTTCGTAGCCGCGTCACGTTCGTTGTTGGCTCCGTAAGTGTCACCATCGATAACGAAACAGGACCGATCGTCGTTGTGTATATCCGTGGTTTTATTGGCTTTCGACGAGGGATCAACGAGAAATTGAAAGTGAAATGAAAAGCCACGGTTGAGTATCGTTGGCTACAGGTCGTAAATTCGCTTGACATTTGCAGTGGTTGATATGAAGGATAGTGATTGGTTACTTTTGTGACAAATTAATGGAACGAAGTCATGTTGGTGTAAGGCGCAAGTTATATAGAACTTCTATACAATGTTGGTTATTACGTAGCAGAAAATGTTACGCAGCGTAACAGAAAATGGAATTATATAGTTTTCAATTGTGTTGGATACAATAACGAGTTTTACAACGTGTGGATTGGTTGCTGCGATTTTTGAGTGGATTATTGAAAAGAGGATTTTGTTATTGTAGTTGAAAGCGCACGATACGATCATTTATTTATTTCATTTCGAAGATTTAGGATTCAGAATTTCTGTTAGATGAATTTTCGATATTGGCGCTTGAAGAAAGAATATAATTCGTCATCTACAGTAATATCTGAAAGATTAATTCCGTTCAAATACGAATAAATTAATTTTCGAACGTGCTACTGAACATTTTTTTCTATTACTATTACAATATGCATTTTTCGTGAAAGAGAAAGTAAGAGAAAAAGTAAATAATCGATAATAAATAATGAAATTAAAAATATCAGCTAACATTGTAAATAAATAAATTTCCCCATCCCCTTTACGACACGTAGAACGTTTGAAAATTTATTTCAAACGCTTAACATGTAATTCCAAATGAAATCTACCGTAATTATACCGCACGTATCTACGATGTGCTCCTTTAAATTGGTGGAAATGATCTCTCGCGGTATGTAATGGAACTGGGTGTATTCCGTCTCGAATAAATAACGCGCTGTCTAAAGGTAGAAACCACAACGAGGGAATTACGAAAAACGGAAATGAATGGTAAAGCAAGCGGGCAGACTTGAAGGAAGCGAAAGATCGATGAGATCTCTCCAAAGGGAGAAGCACAGTTACCCAACTCTCGTATCTCAAGTGGATGCCTTTTCTGAAAGACTCGCTGGAATATATTGCGAGTTCTGGATGCTCGTTATACATCCCGGTGAAATTAGAAGAAAGAGATAGCCTTGGATTTAAAGAATATTTCTTTCGCATATATAACTTGACCAAGATTCATTGTACAACGAAAGGAAAACGAGGCACCTGAGTAAGATACTACATAAAAATTCAGATTTTAAATGTAAATAATACAATAAGAATTTAATTGTATAATAAACCAATTGATTAATTGTTGTTTTAATTTCTATCGCTGTTATATTTATTAAGATGCGACGAAAATATTTAAGTAGAACAATTGTTAATACGTTTTATGGAAAAGACTAATTCAATTAACCTATCCTTCTTTTAATCATCTCACAGAATTTATCGTAATTAAAGCTATGAAAATTCCTTTCAACTACTGGTATCGACTCATAGTTCTTCCCGATATTTCACCAGATATTTAAATCTGACAAAGTAATGGATACTTCATTTAATGGAATATTAGTGAAAGATGTTCTGCCTTTCACATCACGTGCAAATGGCATTGAGAAAATGCTTTAAGTGTTTTATCGTGAAGACGAAAATACGACATTACGATTTCCAATATCCATATCTCGACAACGTAATAAATCATGTCACACGCGTCGTAAAAACATCTCTAGTCTTCAAACATCTCTTCCAAAAGTGAATTAGACGACTGAAAGTTTCGAATTGGCTAACGATAAATATATTATTAAAAAGATACAAACGACCACCTATGAGTATTATATATACGTGGTTTCAACCTCAAGTTAAGGTTCAGAAGAAAATTACCGTTTAATCACGAGAAAGAGGCATCTAGCCCACTAATTACGACAAAAACGTGAATGTTTCACGGAGCCATCGGCGCGAACCGTCTGAAGAAGCGTATGCGAATAATTTTCACGAAATTCCCGCCGGTGCTGGTATCGCATTAACCATGCTGTTACCGTTTAACGATACTGCCAAAGTAATAGGATCCCACTCAAAATCCGTTCTTTCACCAAGGCATTGCACACGTTACACGTCAAGCTACTCTCGCGATCGTTTTACAAGCGCCGCCAGGAATTTCGCGAAAGGACTCCATCTCGCTCCGGGATTAACCGGTGCACATTCTAAAAGTAAATGTGACGATGGCAGGTCGTTCATTGATTTTGTTTTAAGCATCTCGGAAATTCCGTGAATTTTCCCCGCTCGATTTACCAATCGTTTAGTAAGGAACAATGTTGCGACGATGGTCGTATTACGAAACAAAGTTGAATAAATTTATTTTATTGATTGACATGCTATTCGAATTAATGTTACGTAGTGCCTAATTCGTAATTAAGTTTATGGTAACTCGTGGAAATTTTGTGGATTTTTAAAGATATGAATAAACTGCGGATTTTCATGCGTTTACGTGAAATTTAAATGTGCGACAATGAATAAGATATATATACATGTAATATTGTGACGCTCAAGTATAAAACCGATGAACATAGAACCCGGTATTACACCGAGAGTAAACATTGACTAGATATTTTTTTGGTCGACGAAACGACGCCTGCGGCATTATTCTTTTATTTACGCTGGTATTTATGAGAATGATTTAAGTCAGGGAATTAAAGTCAATGAATTTATCAATTATTTTGTGTTTGCATACATTTACATTACAATAATGTAAGACCAGTTTTGTAAGGTAGTAAAAATTTACTCGCTTGATATGACGTTAAACAGAATGCAATTTATATATTAAACGCAAAACGTTAAATATGTCGAAACAAAAAATGTATGACTAGACCATTTTCATGATACCAGCATATTTCGGACCTTACCGCATGGTTGGATTTATCGATCTTCAAAAGTTCTGGATGCTTCTACCGTGAGACCGAAAAGCCTCATCTCCAATGAACCAACATCGAGCAACTTTTTATCGCAGCTTGTTTGTTACTGCATATTCAAAAACATTTCCAATAAACAATTTACATTATAAAATATTTCCATACTGAAACAACATTCGACAATAGGCGGTGATTGTCTCAAGGAACAGAAACAGCAACAAAAATTTACTCGATACGACTTCAACAAAGATGAGACTAAAGAGTAACCTAACGAACGACACACTGTAGAACGATACCTAAGCGCGAAATGGGAAAAATTATTTTTTCCTATAGAAAATAATGTAGCTTACCTTGTCTGTATCCTCCGTTATCGACATGATTCTCCAAAGATCCTCATCAGGCATTGCTTTCTGACACAAACTCACATACAAAATGGCGCACACGAAACCGAGATGCATAAAGAATCACGTATAAGTACGTAGATCGTAGAAACTTTGTACGATGGGTAAAGCCGATAAACTATGCAATATATCTATACAACAACACTTCGTTCACAGCATCAAAACAAAGAGGTTAATTGATGTCGCGAAGCACGCGTATTACGTTTAACTGAAATAAGAAGCGAGTCCCCCCCGTCTGCTACGTGTGAGGAAATCTCCCACCCCTCGTCGTATCCCTCCAACTGCCGTTCTATCGATTATCGATATCTAATCGCGAACTCCGTCGAATGTGAGATCGATGCTCTCGTAAAATCCAACGCGCATCTGAGCCGCGCAGCCAGCCTTTCGGCGGTTTCAATCAAATTCCTGTAGTTACGATACTTTCCTTTTCTGTCATAATGTCAGAATATACGAAAATATACAAAATATTCGAAGTAAATTACTCATTATAATATCTAAATCGAGAGGCAAATTACTTTTTATATAATAATGTCAAATAGTAATAATGAAAAAATAGTAATAAAGGGTGTTTAATTTCGAATGCATGAATGACAATGAAAGAAATGTGTATATTTTTTTACAATATTTAATAATGAGTTAAATTTTTAATTAGAACGTCAAAAAATTACGAAACATTATAAATTAATATCCATTTCGAATATATTATTATAAGTATTAATAGCATTGAATAATACAGAATAGAAAGCGTTCAATTTTTCTCCAACGAACACTTTTTAAACATATAAGTTTTATATCAATGGTTTTATTACAAAGCATGATTTTATCATTATTTTTTATTGTATCGTATAGCTCGGGGATAATTTTCATAACATTGGATATTCGCAAAGCGTCTACATATATATCTGTGAAATTTTGTTCCAACGTAAAATTTAATTTAACATTAAAGGGAACTTTGACTTCAATAAATTGTTTAAACATAAAAATAGGACAAAAGATATGGAATATCTTTTCTATATTAAATATGGATACCTTTTTTACGATATATATGAGATTTAATGAAAGAAACTTAAAGAATTGAATCGACAAGTTGCTTTATGTAATAACGCTTGAGACATGATCAAACAGCGCAGTGTTCCGGCAAAGCCACTTCAAAGGGTTTCCCTACAATTCTATTGAGTTTGAAGCGTTAAAGCAAAAACTTTTCAATTTGTGCTCGAAATCTTGTGTTTTTAATTAAAGAGATTTGACTACGTAAAAGTCGATGGAATTTTTTTGAAAAATCTCCGATACACGTTGCTAAACTTGTATTAGGTTTTCCTTAGGTTTCCTTAGGTTTCCTTTCCATACTCCATTTAAAATTTTATTTCCTATAAGTTTATCTCCGACGTTTTTCATATATTCATATATGTTACTAAGAAGAATTTTAAATGATCATATTGCATCTTCAAGTAAGATTTAAGTAGCAGTCTTCTTACTCTCAGAGATATCCGGATTAACATAAAATTCTCAAAAATCCTCATCTAATCACCCCGACTATGCAATTACTTTAATCTGATGTTACCGTGTACATATATCTAAAGCATAGATCTGCTTCGTACAGAAATGTTTCTTTTCTTCACTCTTTCGCTTTTTTTTATCTTTTTCCTTATTAGAGCGTCGCAATATCAATAAATATATGATATTTACTACTTCTAGATTACAGATTTTTATGCATTTATTGGAAATTTAAAGATACAAAAATACACACAATATGCACAAATATACATATAAGATGTCCAAAATATAGTAGCTGTTAATGAATGTTTAAATGATTAACGAATGGAATAAATCTTTTTAGATTTTTATATATCTAGATGCTCAATCTTTACTTGTATTCATAAGGATATGAATTTGCATAAATATCAGCAGTGTAGTTACTTATATGTATATTTATATTGAAATACTATTTGCACTAAAATCAAATAAGATATTTTTAATAATTTCGTGTATATGCATTGTGCTAGCCGTGTTATTGATGGAATTGTATCAAGTACGAGAGTATATCGATGTTTAATCCGTTCGTGTCAGGAAATTCAAAGTAAGTGACTTTACAGGACCTACTTCTGCAGCAGCACCGAAACCAATTATCCTTCTGCATTTGGGCTTTGAGCTTTGGCAAGGATATACGGCAGGGCCTCTCGAATCACCTTGTCAATCATTTGCCAATTAATCTTGGGAAATTATTGCTTGGATTGATTCACCTACCTAACGCACCTGACAACTAGATCAAGTGTGCAAAGTGCACTTGCGTCTGACTTCGAGTAGACCGGAGACTGACTCATTGATTTCTCGAAACGGAACGGCGACATGCACTTGGTAGCACGTACCAATTTCGTGCAATATCTGCACGTGAGCTGACATATAGATTTTCCAACATTTTGTACGCTTTCGTTGAGATAGTTACTATAAAATCGTTGAAAGCTTTACATATTCTATTTCTTTAGAATATTTCATAAATTTTACAATAAATATTATATTTATATTAATCATCGTCTTTGTTACTCATCAAAATTAAGAAATTAATACCTCAGATGCTTTGTAACTATTTAATAACATAGGAATGAAATGTATTTTATTGATTAATAAAGGTTTAGAACCAGAAATTAAATTCTAAATAGGTTAATATCATTAATATTATGTATAAATAGAAGGAAATCTGAAATTCTATATGGAATATAATAAATTTGACTATGTGCCACTTTGTTCTATAGTTAAAATAGGAAAAATTTATCACAAAGATAGCTGACTTCCTTCCAAACAAGTCCCTTGAATAGCCACATAAAACTAACTATTAATCTTCTCTCACTAGATACTGTTCAATTGTATAGGTCTGACAAAGCAGCATCCTATTCTACTCGTCTCACCAGACACGATTCTATTCTACTTGTTCGATCAAAATACTTTCCAATCCCGTCTCCCTGACCATGCACTCTTTTGTACTTCCGCATTACATTATTTCCATTACACTGGATAAAATTCAAGCTGAAATTAAAATTTAAAATTAATCGTATTTCCAAGCGCGAAATATAATAGTACTATCGTAAAACAAAATATTACGTTGTTGCCCAGTAATACAATAACATGGTTCAACTAATTATAGAATCCATGTTTATTTAATTTGCTGCCAAAATACAATGAATAAAGGATGTTCTGCATTTATGCTAATAATAAACGTTCCATGTTCTCTGTAACTATTACCATTATTAAATTAACCAGAATAAAAGGCAAAGGTTTTTGCTACGTCGGTTATTTTCATGTAAATTTATTAAAAAGACAACCAGCTAAAATATCGCTGTACGGTGACATTCTGCAGCAAATTAGATTACTACTCACTCATCAATTCCCCTTTCTTTCCAGCGGCTGCGTTATCCGAAGAATTAATAAAGGCTAGATGGAAGAGAAGAGGGTGGGCGTAAAAGAGGAAAAGAAGGAGAGAGCATTGATGAAGCGCCCGCGATAAAGAGGAAGACAGAGCATGAACAAGTACCACTCTCGATTCCGTATTTACATAAAATAATCTATAGCGTTCAGGACGTGGTGAGAAATTACATCGTGCCTTCAGCAAGCCCGAGTACTTGTGCCGAGAGGAAGTATTTATTATAGACAATCGATTTTCGAACTCTGCAAACATCGAACGTTAAGTGAAATTTAAACGCTAAAGAACAATTTGTATCTTCTTATGGAATTCTATCCTCTGGCAGGATCACGTTTCTATTGAATTATTTAATATCGATGACTGATTAAATGGAAGAATGTGTTTCTCCAGGAGAAAGATACAATGTGATGGAAATATAAAAAATAATTTGAAAAAAAGTGAAATAATTGGGAAATATAGAGTGTTCTTTAAAGTAAGTGAAAATTTATCAATATTTTTCTAAATTTATCCGGAAATAAATACATGCTCTTGTTTTGAAGTCGATTGTGTAGTACAGGATACCATATATCGTGACGTGTAGAATTTCTGTCTCTTTTATGGAGCTGTCAAATTTGCATCGAAATAGAAAATGGAAACATATATCATTTATAGAGAAACTGGGGCAAAAATTCTATTTCAGACATCCATCATTATTTTGATCTAGTTTTTACGAAATTTTGCGGAACGTTTATTTATTCTATTAATGAATACTGCATGTTCTAAAATTATTCTATCTTCAAATTGTTTGGTATAATCTGTGTTTTATACGCACGTACGATGTTCTAATTTTGCTACCGATATAGAGAAATTTTCCAAAGAACCACTACGACAAGATAAATATGTCTACCTTTCTAAAATTGACTTTTTTATAAAATTTAATAACCACTGATATACTTTGAATATTATTTTTACAATTTTCTTCTGTTGTTATTAAATTCAATTACTATTTCATCTGAATATTTTATCTTTAGAAATAAAAGAGGAGAGCAGCTAGATCCTAAAAGAACATATGCAATATAAAGTCAATTTCTTACTTTCAAATGGGAATCTCTTTCATTTATTTTTCAACAGAAGATTTATGAAACTGTACAGTCAAATCACCTAACTTAAATTAAGATTGCAATATCGTCCACTAAATTTCTCGAAAACGAGTTGAAATGCATCGTCTACCCGATCGAACCGCTTTGAACGGCTCTTTGAAAAAGATAGCCTGGCTGCTACATTATCCTTCTCCACTTTCACATCGTTTCACATGCGTTAGGTAGAAAATTCCTTTGTATTAAAATAAAAATCCGAAACAAAGAGATTCCTCATATAATGAAGCTATCGGATTAGTTTTTCACTATCTTCTTTTTTCAGTTCGATTAAAAAAGGTGAAAAACGAATTGATTAACGTTCGTTCAGCGAAAGCTCGGTCATAATTATAACATTTAACAATAAAATTCACTTAGAAATTAAAACTGCTTAATGTAATGATAATACGCAAGAGTAGCTTAGGGAGTAATAAACATAAAATATGCATATAGTACGAAGTACATTTTATGTCAAAATTGTCCCAGTCCCCAAGAGTTAATTCGCGCTCTATTTTCGGCGAAAAAAAGCATCTCAGATTTATTTGACTCGAAATCCTCGCAATAGTCGTTAACCACGTAGAACCTGAACTATCTGAGATCGTTAGAATCGCTCCAAAGCCTTGGTCATTTCGTCAAACGGCTAACTTTGCGGCCGAGAAAGCAATTTCTTACTGCCGATCATATATCTCAAATCAGTTTTACGAGTGTGGTGTTCACGAAACAGGGGTTAGGGGGCTGAAAGGG